TCGGACCCCGACCGGCGCCGCCGCGCCACTGTGGATGAGAGTGAAGCGCGCCGGCGCACCGATCCCTCGGATCCCAATCGGCGCCGGGATCCGGCAGACCCCAATCGTCGACGCACGGATGATTCGGACCCCAACCGGCGCAGGGACCCTGCAGACGCCAACCGACGTCGGGACCCGACAGACCCAAACAGACGCCGCTCGAGTCCCGGAGCAGTGGATCGTGTCTGGCCCTCAGCCCTAAGGTCATTAAATTTCATAGATATGGTGTGCATGGATTAACGCGCTGTTGCCTCAAACACATTGACAGCTGTAAAGACCTCTGATCGTGACTTGAGGCCAAAATGATCTATGAGCAAGGCGGTCACGCTGTTGTGCGAGCTGAGCTCACGATGCCGGCCTTGCCTGCAAATGTGAACTCTGGAGTCTTTGCAGTCAAGTTCAGCCTAAATCTTTACTGCAAGGTTTTATGTAGGTATGTATGTATGTATGTATGTATGTATGTATGTATGTATGTACGCATGTGTGTATGTATGTATGCATGCATGCATGCATGAATGGATGTATGTAAGTGTCTGTGTGTATGTACGTATGTACGTGTGTGTGTGTGTGTGTATGTGGTTTCAGGATTTTTGGTGCTAGCGAACCGCTGCGTTTTCAGAAAATGAAGACAGCGTGCCATCGTGCATGTTTGAGAGATGGGTCTGAGGTGATGTGGTCTCGCAGTCTCGAGAGGGAGACTGGCCACGCACCGTGGTAGTTGCAACGGATGCTCTGCAGGGCTCCACCACGCTGGACGTTCGCTACATATCCCTTTGGAGACCATGCTTCGGAGGTGGCTCGAGCAAAGATGGTGTCACAGGAGCTTACGGAGAGGAGCCGTGTCTCCTGAACACAGACAGATTCTGTTTCCGATGCACGCGCCATCCCATGTTCCGACCATGCTGACTAGATGATAAGTGTTGCAAAATGTTGTGCCTGGAGGAACTGCCGCTGTCCGCACACTGTCTGGACACAAACACTCCCCTGCTCGTGAACGAGATTCAGCTGGGAAGGCCTGTGGCGATTCAACATGACTTCCTTTCTCTTGCTGGTTTCTCTTTGCAAAGTGCTTCTCGGATGGCCGGGACACCCGAGTACGATATCCGCCGCAACTTCTACAACATGGGAGACTATGCGCATCAGTTCATTCTAAACATGTGGGATGCAGATGACGGAACGCCGATGTTTTCCGAAAGCTTCGGGTGGGAGTATGACATCATCCAAAAAACGGTCTTATTCATGTCTGCACCTGGGTTTTGACAAAAGTAAGCAAGTGAGAGGAAGTATGACAACGTTTGTGCGACCGTTTGCGTAGAGATGCTGTCATTGCAATCCGAGGTTTGGATGGAAGTCGTTCACGAAATGGAACAAGCAGTTGGGATGTGTGGAGCTGTGCAGGACGAGTGGTCTTTCAAATGAGTAGCTGCTTAGCAAACTCATTGGAATCTTTGTGAAATTGAGGACAGCAGCCGCCGACGCACCGATCCGTCGGACCCCAATCGGCGCCGAGACCCCTCAGACCCGAATCGTCG